CAAATATTGTAAAATCTAAAATATTTTCACAGTTGTAAATGATACAGAAAAAAATAAATGGACCCAACAAGCAATATTGTTGTTCCAGGTTACTTCTATTACTGTACATACAGTCAAGGATGATAGTAATTTGTTTTAGTAATAAACACATGAATACAGTATATAGGCCAATTTTGATGGGTTGAAAATTTTGACGGAAGTTTGGGCTCTGTCCGTGCTGAACTTTGTGATCAGGAAGTGTTAAGTTAGACTGTATTCCTACTGCTAAGTTAATGCAGATATGTGGGTAAACTCAGCCCGATTAACTGTGGTCAGCCAATTAAAGAACAGCATGGATTTATTTGCCATAATAGGATTAACCCAGCTGTGGCGAGGCTGGCAATAACAGAAGTTAAGCCTGTAAACAAGGAAGGACGAGTAATTAGACTCCGTTTCCACGGCACACGCTTTGAAAGAGCTCTGCCCCTTCCATTTCACTCTGTGGCTTAGATACTGAAACAATGTCCCTGTCAAGGCAGATTTGTGACATTTTTTTATTGGGCTGCTGTTGTTTTTCAGGCTTCCTTTTTGTGGCCTTCTCTGTCTAGACCACGGTTTCTTCGTTCGAGGACAGTCGCCACAAAATTGTAGCTTTGCTGTTATGATCACCCTTTAATATACAAGCTAGATAAATGCCCCGGTTTCTGAAGAAAGAGGGCCTGCTCTTTTTTTTTGTTTAGGGTTATTTGCCTGGTTGTGCGTATCACTGTCTAGACCACAAGTGAAATGCTCACAGATTTGACTGATTTGGCAATGGGAGGGAATACACCTACCTCACGTCTCCCCTGGGTTTTGATTTTGATCCTCCTTTGGGCTTTCCAGGGTTCATTTTCAGTGATTCACTCCTCCTGGTTATTATGTTTTGCCACAGTTTCTGTGCACAGAGGGCAGTTCCCTTTTTTCATGTAACAAATGACTGATTGGGAACTAATGTTGTAAGTACTTACCAAGATTATCTCCTGTTGTGGGTAGCCGAGTAGAGAAATCAAAACAGAAGCTGTTATGAATGAGGCCAGACTTATCCTTAAAGAAAAAGCTGTGGTTTTGCCGCAGTACCCATGTCCCTACTCATGCAATACTTTGGACTGTGAGAGTTGGTTTGATGAATTTTTCTGTAAAGTATTCAAAACCATCCATTCATTGTAACATCATAAAGAAACTGTTCAATTACTTCAAAAGAAAAGACTGAATATACACATTTAATTGCTTTTGGTCAGGCTTTTCTGTCTCCTGTCAGAGTATTTCTCAATCACCAAACTTAAACTTGGGTATTTTAAGTATTAAAACCTGGATATTTTAGATATTTATGTCAACTGAAAGCCGGATTGTTTTTCTTGTTGAATGGGAATAATTTATATTAGGCTTTATTCACAATTCTGAGATTTAACAATTTTTGTTGAGTCTTGGAATTGATTTCACAATAACAATAATAATAATAAATATGGACATTTGCAAATATTTTCCTGTAATTAATCATAGGACATTTAAATAGTACAGTTGTTTTTTGTGGACTAGGGATAAATTGTGCTGAAGAGGACCAGTCTTGAAGTTAAGACATTTCCATGGGAAGCAGCCTAAAATGGAATAAGTATTGGCAACAGTAAAGTGGCAGAGCCAATAAATATTATGTTTGACAACTGATGGGTATGAAAAATCTTTTATTAATGTAGAAGCCTCTTCCTGAGCAAAAATCCCAGGTTTATCCAGGGGGTTTATTGTGGTGGTGTTTGTTTTGAACAGAGTGTGATTTCATTACATGCAATCAAAATACCATTAAGTTCTACCATTTGCAAGCTTTTACCCAAATACTGTAGCTTAAGAGTAGTAACAGCAGAGCATAGCTTAAAAGATTATACTGTTGATTGTGTTTGTCTCAAAATGTAATTAATAAAGCATGAAATATCAAATTCTGTTTCATGACTAAGAATAATATTACATTTTTGGTTAGTTTAGTTTTAGTACCATTTAGCACTGATAGCGTGGAAGGCCTTCATTTAAAGTCTACAGCAAATTGCACCATAATTCATAAATTCATATGTCTTTATTGAAAAGCACAGTAATTGCTGATTTAGAAAATGAATGAGTCAAAGACGCATGTAATGATTTATAACTGCAGGAAATAAATATTTCCTTAATCAAAATTGCAAGTTATTACAATAGAATGTGACTGTGAACATGGCATCTTTTCCATGTCAATACAAGGTTATTGAATGAGGACAGTTTTAGTTTTCTGATGCAGAAATGTTTAAAATGCTAACAGTTTGAAACAAAAATAGTTCAGTGAATAACTAAATTTTGAATATCTTTATCAGTTATGTAAAATGTGTTTATTAAACCTAGAATAATTATAAATATGCAAAAAATATACTGTACCTGATATTCTGTATCCACCTTCTATTTACACTTTAGAAAGCTAACAGTTTCAGTATGTACAAAAATAACAAAAAAGGTGCATGTAATCTACAAAAAGCGCTCAGTTAACATTTAAATCCCAGAATGTAATACAGTAGTTACAAGACCTCATGAGATTTATTGCACCACATACCCTACATTTCTCCTTTTCCCAGTGCACTTGTATTTTTCATGTAATTTATGGTGGCTGTGATGGAACTTTGTCACTTGTAATCCCCTGTAATTTGTCTGCATCTTCATATCGTTCAGTGCTGACACTTTCCGGGAAAGAGCTATAGACATTATATGCCCTTAACCCTGCAGTTCTCACTTTTTTTTCTGCAAACAGGAATGTAAAGAATATCCACAAAATTGTAGTTTATTAAAATAGAATGTGACTGTGAACATGGCATCTTTTCCATGTCAATACAAGGTAATTGAATGAGGACAGTTTTCGTTTTCTGATGCAGAAATGTTTAAAATGCTAACAGTTTGAAATGTTAGTTTTAGAATTAACTAAAGACTATTTGAAAATATACACCATTCATTATGTATAAATACATATACATCTATAAATATATATATTTTCTCTAAAACTGATTAGCTAATAGCAACTAACCAAGGAAGATGGACTTAAAATCCTTCCGTTGTTGCTGTGTTCTCATAAACTCTAAAAAAGTTATGACTTAAGCAACACTCATTTTCAGGCAATGTTGTTTGGTTTTCAGTAATGACAGAGTAAAAGTGTTTAATTATTGTATTGTTTTCAGATTTGAAAATGTACTGTGGAAGTCTCTCGCTGGTTCTTATTTTCAGCCTCTTGCTCAGTTCAGTTTAAGAAAATCGTCAGTTTTGTCACAGTGTTGCCAAGTTACTGTCATACCTCAATTCCTGTTTGAGCTGGGCCTGTTTGGCATAGCAACAAAGCAAATTAAGAATAAACAAAAAAACACAGCCCTCAATAAGGCTCTCACATGTGCTCATTATAATGGACAGCATTGTGTAATGAATTGATCAGGTAGCAGGCTTTGTAAGAACAGGAGATTAATTGTGACTTAAAGAGACATAATTGGTGAAAACCCGATGTTGTCAAAATGACCAAACACTAAAGCAGCTATATTCTCAGAGTGTAATGGCAACCATGCACATCACAGGCACTCTGCTTTGGTAAAGAATGGGCTTGGCTCAAACAAGAAAACTGCACATGATGCAGAGTCATAGGCTTTCAATGCCCATTGTTACTTTATTTCATCCAGATGTACTGTACTTATTGTGGCAGTGTTATTTGAACTGTAAAATACATGCATCTAACACTCCATTCAGGGATATTCTTATCACAGCAATTGCTCTAGCTTAGGTCAGACAACTATAATGTAAGGAACAGCAGGTGACTTCAAAGAAGTCTTTCTGTCATGTGTAAGACGTTAGGCACTGTTCATGAAGATGATGATGATGATGATGATGATTATTATTATTATTATTATTATTATTATTATTATTATTATTATTCCTAATCCTAGAGATAACCAGACTCACTGACAGACAGGTACAAATTCCTAGGTTGTATTTATTTTTATCAGTGCTTTAAAATTCATTAAACAGTTTCCTTTCTCTTATATCACCTGCCCACCTGCACACAGTGGAATCAAAACTAATAATTATCTAAATCTGTTTTGACATCTTTCAGATTCCCCTTTCAATAAAATATGAATGGCATAATCTCTTTTATGTTTAATGGATAACTAATGCTTAATGCTTAATTATGGTTCAGTGTTAGTTTGGACTGGAAATCCCCACCACTGACTTAGTTACTACATGGTATGATTTGATCCCTCAAATTATATATTTTATTTGTGTTATATTGTTGTTACAAATAATATAATTTAGATTAAATTAAAATAATTCATTTTACAAGTGGAAAATTCATTGTACATGTTTTTATATTTAGACAGGCTTGTGAAATATATTTAAGTTACACGCTTATACAGTGTTTGATTAAAAATCACTGAAGTGCATTGGGCTTTTATGGAACAGGGTTTGCTTTATTATGTGTTATATTTTTTAAATGTTTTTAGCATTTTGATAACATTTGATTTCTATTTTTGTCTTAAAAGTGAGATTACAAATGCTTTCTTCATCCTCAAACGTAATTACTGTGCCTATTTTAAATTTCCTGGCCTGCTAATCAATAGCATTAAATTCAGAGCAATTCACTTGACTCATCTTGTCTCTTGTGACCCCATATTGCAGCATTGAAGAGTTTCAGTCCAGTGAAGTGCACTCCGATTTGTTCATGATGAAGCATATTGATTTTATTAAAATTTGATTAAAAAAATAAATAGAAAAAAGGTATGTAAATTCGTAATAATATTTGGAAAAATAAAATGCATTTCTAATGTGCAATACAACAACAGTGTGTTTATATTTCTAGGGAAATAGAAACTGAAGGAATACTTATTGATTTTGTAGAATTGAGCCTAATCCTAATATGAAACATTTCATGCAGAGAAAAACTCCTATATACAGTAGGAGTGTGTAGGACTGTAACAGTTATTATTATTATTTCACAGCTTGTGAAAAGGAGATCCAGAAGGTGTGCCGAAACTCCTCAGAGGAGCATCTCCAGCCATTTAAGGAGAAAATGGAGGCATTCATTTCTGTTGGTGAGTAAAAAAAATACAATGCCCCACCCCCTCTTTTGTTAACTTTTAGAAGGTGATATGTTTTGTTTAGCTCCATGTTCCTGTAGATCAGAAACGTAGCGTGTTGCCTTGCCCTAGCTGATGTTACTTGTTTGATCCTGTGCAAAACTGCTAATAAAGCTAGGGGCCAGTTAGGCTGCACTGATTATGTGTTTAGATGTGTTTAGATTTTCTGTGGACTCCACAAAGCCAGTTAACCTGATTATAACGATCATGCGAGGAAATTAGCATTCCCAAATGTGTAATATTACTCACAAAGTCTTAAGCAATTGGGTTTTTTATGTCTGAAAAGTCAGTGAATTGATTCATGAGAAGACCTCTCGTATATTTACAGAAACTGAGATCCTAGAAGCAGAAGCATAATGATTTAATTTTTTTCTTCTTGTAAACCATAGTCTGTTTCCACACTTCACTGAAAAAGAAACCTTTGATCTGCCTTTTATATCTTTCAAGAATAAACATTTCCAAAGCTCAGAGAATCTTGTAAAAAAAAAAGAAAAGAGTTCCATTTAACTGAGCTGTCTACTGAGATGAAGTCCTCATTACCCCTTAACTTTGCAGTAAAGGGCACATGCAATGCCCCAATACTAGTTTTATCATGTAGTTTTTCAGGTGATAGCATACTTTCATTCATCTTGTTTTTCATGCTGAGATTTCTTTCATGTTCTGTTGTCACTGAATCAGCCATTTAAAACAGTTCAAGCATTAGAAGCACTGTTTTTGTGAAGTCAGATGCATATGGCATAATAGTCTCCATTGAACCTGGTAGGGAATCCCTAGCACAATGCTTGTAAATAAAATATGTTCACAGTGTGACTTTTGGAAACACTAGACAGGATGTTCTGACATTTTTGCATAATACTTTGAAATGCATTTCTCTCTTTTATTGAGGTTGTCATAATTTATTTATTGTGTCTACTCAGAGATAACACAGCTTGCACCCTGTTGCTATGGAATATTTCTTTGCTTATGCCTTTTTTGGTTGATAATAGTCTCTTGTCTTTTATGCTTTGAAGAGATGGTTGCCAGTTGTACGCAGACAGGAGAGATAAAAATCAAATCTTAAAATAGCTTTTGGCAATGATGATGACTACTGAATAAAGTACCTGCCATCACCTGACAAGGAACGAAAGAAAATGTTTTGTTGAACTCTTGTGTGTGAAATTTGGAGGTAGACAGAAGAAACTTTTTAATACTGTAAGTTTTAAGCGGCTTTAGAGAAGACATACTTTACCGGCTATATTGTATATGTATATTACATTTAAATCAAATTAAAACAGATTAGCATTCTGTAGCAGTGAAGATCTTCTCATTGAGTATACAGCATTATAATCACATCTACCTAAGCTTGCTTAAACAAATACAAATATTTATATATTAGATTTAACACTGGAATTTGATTCTTGACATTAACCAGAACTCATTTCCTTAAACAAAGTAGAGGACAGCTTAAAGCTTCAGTCCTAACTTATTTCAAGAGAAACTATTGATCTTTAAGAACTTGCAATCAGAAAGGAATACTGTAGGTATACTAAGTACACAGCCAAAGCCATCATCCTAAACGAAATCCTATGAAATCTGAACTGTTTGATTATTTCCCAAATTGCCCTTAACCGTCATTCATGATTCATTCTGCTTGCTTGGCTGATAGCAGCTAAAATAATCATTGTGAACAGCTGGGTGGAGCCTTTAATATCTTGTAGGCACTTGTGGCTACACTGTTTTGTGGCAGTTGTTATAGAAAGGTCTCCCAGATAGGTTGCACCAGGCTCCAGACAATCAAAACTGTTTGTGTAAAGAAAAGTTTCCTATTCTCTAAATTGCATTTAGGTTTCAAGATGTGACCGTGTGTTGCTGTTTTGCTGCTGACTCTGCAGTCCATGCCTGTATATGACAACCCCGGAGATCAGGAGTTTTTTCTTTTTTGCTCTTCTTTTTTATCTTTTTTGGGCTATAGTAGTTTCGGTTGTGTGGTGAATAAAACTGCACAGAGTATTCCAAATGAGGTCTTAGTGTGATGTAATTCTTGAGCACAACTTTAAATTCCACACCTTTTGTGATTTAGCCATGCTCTGTGGTTGCTTTTATATACTATATATTGCTGTCCCACATTGTCTTGATGATGTAAAATATTGTTTAATGGCCATCACTTATGATTATAGTATACTGTACATTCCTACTTCCTGTATGGATTATTTTGCACTGTCAACATTAAGTTTTATTTGCCTAGCGTCTGCCCAGTCCTTTTTGTGAGTCCCTTGCAACTGCTTCCATTTTGCCACTATTTTGTATTGTAAGCAAAAGTCACTATTTCTCTATTTCTGCTATAAGTGATCATTGATCTAGATCAAGAAGAGTAGTGGGCCTAACAAAGTCCGTGTGGTACGTCATTGCTTACATGGGCCCAATTAAAGGTTAGATTGGGAAGCTGCATTAGCGTGCAAACTGCAGTTTATTTACGATCACTTCACACACCAGAAGAAGGCTCCACAATAAAAACATTGTGTGTTTGTCCTTTATTTCTACTTTTCAGCATGGAATTAACCTGTATTATAACACTTAGAGGTGATACAGTACCTCTTAAGATGTTGTTGTGTGCTGATTCCCAGTTATATGGACTAGTTTTCAACACAAAAACATACCTTACCTTGGTACAATTAATTTGAGAATGAACCTTTTATGTGGAAGCTTTCCAAAATCTTTCTGGAAATCTAAATATACAGTACAGTATTATATGCTTTGGCGGTCTCGCCAGTCAGCTTTCTTTTAACGGAGGAGACTCCTGTTCTCCAGGTACCTCTTTTGTATTTTCCATAGCCCCCATTCGTCATATCTGTTTTTGCAATAAGCTTACAAGACTTGTAAAAATATTCCTTAAACAGATGCACATTTTTGTGAATTATTTAATAAATAAAATGTAAAAAAAAAACGATAGGACTTTTTCTACAGGGGTACCAGTGGACTGATACAAAAACTGATACAAAAGCTCCAGTAGTAGTATGTCCAGGCATTTTAAAGTATTCCAGTTCCAATTAATTAGATATTTTTGTTTAATTAAAGTCCCAGAAGGTTGGAAAGTCTGGTTTAATCATTGCAGTTCAACTTGCTTTATAGATATTATCCTGGCAAAGGATTAAATCATGTCAGTTGTTGTATTTCCCTGGTCTTTAGAAAATAATTATTTAAAGGTTCCTAGAAAAGCATCGGACTATGACATGAGGTTGTGTCTCATTATATTTGGTAATATGCTCAAATTAGATTACTGCCATGAATACATATGGCCATTATGTGTGTTTGAGGTTAATAAAGGTTAGCAGAACAGACTTTTTCTACTGAAAGTTAAGTTACTAACAGTAGGTGACAGGGATGTGATTTGCATGGCCTTTAACATTATTTTTTGCTTCAGTGGATCATTGTCTACAAAAACGTCCATAAGTTGTTCTTGTGAAATTCATACTAATGCAAATGTATTATATAACATAAAGATGATATTAGCATAGTATTAAGTTCTTACTTACTAAATACTGACCACTGTGACCACAAGTACTGTAGTCTTTAATAGTAATAGTCTGTATAATAGTCTGTATAGACTATATAATAGTCTGTATTTTTTTCTCTAATAATACTTCAACCTGACCAGTGAAAGCTTTGTACAGTACTGGTGAAATAATATTTTTACAGTTGCATTGGTATTTTATTCTAGTAAAGATAAATGCAAATAAATGGATTGTGCCACAAAACCTGATATATTCTGTAGGATGTTCTCATTCCAATATTAAATACTGAAGTCAAAACATTGAAGTCATAAATTGCAGAGAAGAACAGTGTCTGAGTATTTTCCTTTTCATTGGACATACACTTAATCATAATACTTTGAGCAGTGTATATTGTTAAGGAAAGTGTGAGATGATTTATTGATTAACTACTAAATGCTTCAGTAATTCTGTATTTTAATTTAGTTATTTGTAAATGTGAAAGATTAGCACTTGCAGTGCACTTGATTGCTAGTGTTTTACTGATTTACAGTAGTACTGCTTATTCTTGAATGTGGCTTTCCAATGCTCCTTTTAATATAGGTGTGGTATTCCTGTAGTGTATTGAAATATGCAATATGATTTCTATCAAGACTTTATGATTTTTTTATTAATCTGCATGTTATTTTACTTTTGTAATGTTGAAAAGAATCCTTTCTTTGCTTTTGTGGGTGTTCAGTTTTTTAGTGCTTCAGGAGACGTATACTTAGCCTACTATAATATATTTAAAAAAACAGTACTGTCCCAATTTCAAAATAACAATCTCACTTCATAATGCATGGTAATTTCACAGATTAACTTCATAATATGTCAGATAGCTATTAACTAACACTTGAAGAGGCAACCATTTCAACTTAATGTTTCAATAACAAACCCTTGTGTTTGTGGAATGTACTCAAGACCTAATCTCATTTCAAAAGAATGAAAATATTATATCAAAGATCAGCACTCAGTTTTACTTTCAATAAATTCAATGGTTAACTAAAGTTTAAACTAATTTGCAGCAAATTGATGCACAGCAGATGACAGAATTTTATTCTTTCTCATTCAGTTTTTGTTATTTGCAAAATAAACTAAGTAAACTTAAATAAAGTGATTTTTTAAGCTTGTGGTTTCTAAGATGAAGTTTGTTTGGCTAAACAGGAACAAAGAAACAAGTTATTTCTTTGAACTATCAATACATCTGTTCCTGCGTAATATTTACTATGAAGTAATAGCACAGTGGTCTTAACTGCAGAGTGTTAAGCTTAATTGCTTAAGGACGTCTAACAACTTAATTTTTAACAACTATTACTACTATTTTTGCTCGATGAGATAAACAGCCTCCTCTTTTTGGAACCTTTCTTTCTTATTCTGGAACCTATGGATATTAACAGATGTGAACTCTGTTAACGTTGTCTCATATGTTCCCCAAATTGTGGTGTTATC